TTTTTTTTTTCTCTTTGAAATTTCCCCACCAAAATCGGCAGTTTGATAGCAAAATGAAATTGCGATCGCAGGTAACAAAATACGACTTTTGTTGCATACTCCCGGTGCGACGAAATAAGTAGCAATTTTAAATTGATTTTTCGCATTAACACCACCAAGTTCCAACCTTTTTCAATTATTTTCAACGACCCTGCATTCAGACTGCAAACACTACAATAGTTTAAGCCTTCCGCTACTTGCACCAGGAAGTCGCAGTAGTTGCTGTAAAAGGAGCACCAGAAATTATTACAGAAGAACACTCTAAGCAGTAAATGGTTAGGAAACCTCCAATTTTTGTTTTACTCCAGCAAACAGCAATACAATACGCAACACCATTTAGTTGTTCCAATAAGCAGCACTGCCGAAAATGTTTTCAAACAGATTTTTCAAAACATTTAGGGGAGATGGGCCACAGTCTAACGAGGAACTGTTCGTAAAGTTTTTTTCATGTCTACAATGTTTATTAGGGCACATTTTCCTTTGCCTTCTCAGGCTAATTTTCTCTTCATCTTCTATCCCACATTCTAATTGTCTTGGAATCAGACATGAATACACATTAGCAATACATTTATTTTGTGACGTCATCAAGCGAGTAAGAAAATTTGTACACAGAAATGGTTGTTCTTCCCAAGCTCCTATTCTAATCTCTTGCCGGACTTACAGAGTCATAAGTGAAACGTTCCAACAAAAGCACAAAACGAAATAGAACTATAAAATTTATGCAGTTAATCAAATTTGATAGTACATGTTTGTTGAAAATTCATTTATCTATTCCAGTTCTGTAAGTATGCTTTAATAAATTTATTTTAAGCAAAATAAAATCTAATATAAATTTAAAAGGCGGAGCTGAGAGACTGCATTTAACAGAGGTAAAAAAAGCTGTTTTTTTAAAATTAATCTCAGGTGCTTTGCAGAGCATATAAGAAGCTTATTACAGGCAACGTTTTCTTTTTTATTGTAATCTTTAGAACAATAGAATAATAGGCTTAAAGCAGAAGCAAAAAAAGTTGAAGATAAAGAAAGTAAAAGATAAGGCAACTAACCAGAGCAATTAACATGGTTTCTTATGAACACTAATCTGAAGATTAATTTAGTTTTAATTTGAAGCATTAACGTTCAACGCGCTTTGTCAGGTAATAGTTTACTTTTATAAATTTTTGTCTGGTTATTAATGACCTGTAAAAGATTGTAAACCTTTCAGTTATCAGTTTTATTTACAAGCCAGATTACAAACATTTGCTTTCAACAAACATAATTAAAGATTAAGAACTGGAGCTGTTTTAGCCCGGTGACCCTATTTCTTTTCTCTACTCCACTGGGAGAAGCCTATGAAGGGCTCTCATTTTTTAAAAAACCTCATTTTTTCTTTGCACAAACACTTACTCTTTTTTTGGACGTTTTATCTTTTCGTCACTATACCGCCAGAATTTGATAGTTCTTATACACAGACAAATATTGTCACCTTAGCTCATTCTGGTTTAATAACAACATTTATACTGTAAGAAAATTACAGTTATACTGCAGCTTTATTTTTAAGACACTTTAGTTCTTGCTATGGCATCAGCTTTAAAAAAGCAAAAATAAGCAAATTCTGGATTAGAAGTGGTTTCAATACGTACGAGATGACTTGAACTAGTCATCGTTTAACACGAAATTCTAAGAGTTAAGCTGCTTTTGGCAGTTTACAGGGTAAATGTTTTATTGAAAAGAGAAAATTTTGTTTAAGCAATACTACCGACATTGCTTTATGCAGTTTATATGCTATCAGTCAACTGTCAAAACGTGCATTAAAAGAGGTTTGTTGATATCGTCAAAGAAAATCTTCTAGTGGTGACGACTTATGCTGATGAAGTAATTGAGCTTTTCGAGTGTTCAAGAAATAAGAGAGTATTCAGCGAAAAAAAAAAAGTTTTGCCGGAAAACTGCTTTATGATTTAGTAAAACGTCAACAGAAGTCCTTGAATTTCGCTTCTGAATCAAAAACTGACTGATGTATCTATTGCAAGCAAAAATGTATTACAGAAGTTATAGCAAAAAAGTTAAAAAGTTGGTAGTAAGACACGTGTTTAAAAGCTTGTTGACACCTTTATTAAACGATAAAATATTTTTAAAGGATTAAACGGTTTGAGACTGCAGAAAAAAAGTGCGATTTTAGAATGCTTTAAAGGTTTAAGGTAATATTTACCAGGATAAAATAAAAGTTGTAAAGTTGCTGTGAAATGAATGAGCTTTTTTTAGCTTGAGTTTTTGACAATTTTTCTACTCTTTTTTCTTAAAACTAACTGTTTTCTGATTCTGAAGTCCTAAGGAAAATAATGAAATTACAGTTACTTTTAAAGAATCAGAAACTCCAAAGTTCGCTGATTGATAAATTTAAGAATTTAAGAATTCAAAATTATCTGACCAGAGTAATATGGTTTAGGTTTCCACTTCAGTATAAGCCGATTTGATAATATACAACTTTTAACTTATAAAAGACGTAAAAAATTTATTTACTTTTATTCGAGTCAGTTTGAAAAAGACTGACTTAAAAAACACTTTGTATCTGTGTAAGAAAGACAGTTAGACGAGAATAAAAAATAGCGAAAAAAGTGAAAAGAAAATGAGAAAGACAGCAACATTGAATTATTAATTTTTAGTAATCAAAAGTTT